TCCATGAACTTTTGGAAGTGCTCATATTTTTCAAAACAGCAAGCAAACTCTGAGAAGTTTCCAACTGTGTGTTCCTATCTGGAATGATCATTTTAACACACACTGATATTCTATGTCATGTTATATGAAAACATAGTCCAAGCATACTTATCGGGTTGCCGGGTAGAGCTACTGCAAGGACTGAAGGAAAGCTTGCATTTGAAAGAACCATGGCCTGCTCTCAAGTCAATGCTGATAAAAGCCAGGTGGACTGGTTGCCTATGTGCCACGGGAAAAACCACTGCCACGGGGTCATTACTGCCTCACAACAACCGCACAGGGCAGGCTAGAACTGCCCCATGAGTTTCTGAGACGGTGACTACTGATGAGCGTAGAAAGCCCCCTCTTGCACCCAAGGGGCTGCTGGTAGTTTCAAACTGCTGACCTTTTGGATTGCAGCCCAACAGGTGGGCACTGAACCGGTAGAGCTCCATATGCATGCTGGGCAGGCCAAATGCCACTGGCCATAGGCATCCAAAGGTTCAATAAGCCTCCAACAGAGCAAGCAATGGAGAGATGCGTCTGTGCTGGGCGGGTGGGGGAGGGAAAGCCACACTCAGCTGCTCCAGCAACGTGACAGACACTCCCGTGTACATGATTTGTGCAAGAGTTTACATTCAAGGGGAAACACACCAACAAGCATTACTGGCCACATTAAATTAATGTTGTTCATTTGAATGTAATGGTTTTGCCATTTTGTTTGTATTTAATTTGTAAAGATGTTTGGTTTTATAGTTGCATAATGGCTATACACAGACGGAGTTCAGTCCTATTTTATTTTTATACATATTTAAGTAACATTATAATCAAAACAATTTAATTCAATAGTGCAGTATCAAGAGATTGTATTCCCTTAAAAAAAGAGAGAGAGAGAGAGAGGCAGACTCTGTCTCTTCTCATGTTTGAGAAGTTCTCTCCTTCTAATTTTCTCTCTGACAGGAAACATCAGTGGAGGTCAGGCCAATGTTTCCTATTCAGATTCACATTCATTTGGAGGTAGCTGAGGAAAGAGTCCTCCCACACTTTTGTTTTTGTGGTAACACTTGTCACTGTTTAATGACGATTTATTCTTGACCAAAATAATAATTAAAACAAACAAGCAAACAAAAAACACAAACTTTAAATTGCTGAGAGTCAAAATAAATAAAAAGTGACGCCTCACTTGGTTGTGGAAGGTTCTCAGACAGTCTCTCGTCCAACCACCTTTGGGAGCCCAAGTCCACGCAAGTGTACAGTCCCGGGCTTCACACTCAGTGCTGGAATGTGCGTGGGTGAGGTGAAGGAGCTTTGACTACAGAAATGAATACACAGACCTGATTGTGAGCTGCTTGCTGCTTGACGTGATTTATCCCCATGACAGAAGTCGCCTCCCGCTGGTCTGTTTTACAGCTATTTGAAGGAAATGAGTTAGGTGACCTAGTTCCACTGGGTTTTGTCTGTCTGTCTGTCTGTTTGTTGAGGTCAGTGTGGTGCCCAACAGAGCGTGCAGGTGGGGATGCAGGAGCACAGAAGCAGAGGGACACAAATAAGCCATTCTGGGAAAGGTGCAGAAACCCTCGGGAGAGCTTTAGACCCAGGTAGGGCAGGCAGATGTATCCCTGGGTGGCGCAAAAGGTTAAGTGCTTGCTGCTAACTGAGTGGAGGAAGATTCTAAGCCACACAGAGGTGCTTCTGGAGACGGACCTGGCAACAGCTTCCTAAAGATCCCAGCCTGGAAAACTCCAGGAACATAGCCCTTGGGCATCTGTCTGCTCCACACACATGGGGTCTCCAGGAGCCAGCATCAGCTCAGCGGCAATGGGCTGGGCTGGGCTTGGGAGGGTCCAGAAGACAGGAGCTGTGTGTTATAAGCAGCCCTTTTGAAGTCGAGGCTCTGGGGAGGTCCTGCCGCTGATGGGAGGTGGGGCCTTGTGGCTACATAAACGGGCAACACAAGCATGTCTACTATATTTAGATTTCCAAACTAGATATCAAAGATACCAAAAATGAATACTATGTCTCTCAATGATGAATAATAATACATGAATTTGCTTGTGCCGGTTTCTCTCCATAACTAGCCAGCAGCTAGTCGCTGGGACACTGCTGGCCTGCCCAGGCTGTTTGATCTTCTACAAGCTGCTTTCAACAGTACTGCAGCGCCAGTGAATTATTTAACGTGGTGCTGCCAGCCAAAGTCGCCAACACTCACCAAACGACAGTTGCCTGCATGCGCCCGAGGTGAGGGAAGATACTGCTGGGACCCACCTGCAAGTGACTGAGGGCAGAAGGCACTGGAATGCCACCCTGTTGCATGTAAAATTAGCCCTCGGAGAAGCAGGAGGAGGGATCTCCCTAGTAGGCAGGAGCTGAGTGCACCCTCCGGACCAGAGATCCCTGTGCAGTGACCTTCCTGGATCTGGAAGGCAGCAGTGACGTCAGAGGAGCAGCAACAGAACCAGAAGTCAGAGTGTGAAACAGTGGTGGACTTCCCAGCCCCCCGAGCAAGGAAGGTTGAGTGCGTTGTGACAGGAGGCTGGCCTGCAGCCACTGCATTGAGGGAGCTGGACCTACTGAGCCATGGACGGGAAGCCGAGTGCCTTTAGATGGAGGCTCAATGGTGAGAGGTGCTTCTGGCACTTTGCTGGGAGCTAGGACTTGGTGGCCAACAGAAGTGGAGTGGAATGCCGTCTAGCCGAGGCTCACTGGAGTGGGGTGCCTCTGGGCACTTAATTAGGGAGCTGGGTTTGCTGACTCATGGGAGCTTGAGCTGAATGCCTGGTGGTAGAGGCTTCCAGCAGAAGGACAGCCCTTTGAGCCTTTGTTAGCCATAAGTCCGGATGAACGACTGTCTTCTGAGCACTTCTCACTGGCCGTACAACCTGTTAACTTCCTACACACATGCCGTCGTTCTTAATATGGTGATTCTGTGTAGTCACTGCAATGAACATGGGAACCGAAATAAAAATCAGGTAGTGTTATCTGAGACTACGCCAGTACAAAGGCGCCCTGGTGCCTCCAGGTGTCGAATACTGGCCTTATAAATGAAGTTAGTGGTGAGAGAGAGAGAGAGAGAGAGAGAGAGAGAAGAAGAGGCAGCAGTCGTCCACTTTCATGAAGATTCCCAACCTTGGAAACCCTATGAAACCCTCTACTCTACCCTAGAAGGTCACTCAGAGTGGGCATTGACTCATTGGTAAAGGGTGATTCACAGCACAGAGGACTAGCAACCCAAGGTAAAGGACTTGACTGCCAATGACAGGTCTGCCTTTCAAGCCACCAGCCACTCCCTGGGAGAAAGTGTGCCAATCACGTCCTTACAGATTGACGGCCTGGGGAACCCGATGGCAGTTCTACTTAGTCCTACAGAGTTTACTATGAGGAGAATCAGAGCTTGGGTTTGGTTTTGCTTGCTTGCTTGTTTCAACAGTACAGCAGGAACCAAACAAAAGAGATACTTCATATGAGGAAGGTCACGGTTACTGGTAAAAAACGAATTTTTTGAATCCTGGCACATCTTTGCTAGTTAATAAGCACTGTGACCCTTCTAGGTGATTAGACCAAGGGGTTTTAAATAAACCATGAGCCTCTTCTGTTAACGTAAATGTACTCATTATAGTCAACATCAAATAGCTTTTTCCTAAAACCATCAGGAAACCCTGAAATGCAAACCTGGGAGAGAGCCGAAGAAAAACCAGACAAGAGCTCTACCTTCACAGCTACCTCTCCATTTGCTATTCTTCGAAAGCGCTTCCTTCTGGGTTTGCCTGAGGGTAGCCTGTTGCGCTTGCAAGAAGTCTATTTAAAAGAGCTGAGAGAAACTAAAATACCAACTGCTTTCAAAAGGTACCAGACAAACAGCACATGGATTCCACAGGGTACAGCATTTCAGTGCCCTTCTCGTCTTGCAGGGGATACAAATTATAGTCCTCAGGATCAGAGACAGCAGCATCAGATCCCGAATCTTGAGAGAAAGGCAAAAAGCTCAACATCCACCCTAGAACTCCTGAGGGAAACATCCTGGAAGAAGGCCCAGTAATCAGCGCTTTGCTAAACGCTCCAGGTGAATGACGAGGCGCCCTAAAACTCAGGACTCATTGGTTCTGAGTGAAATCTTGGATTTTAATATTCAAAGGCCAGCTCTGCCGATAGAACGATGATTACTCCAAGACACCAGAGTAAGCAGTGATGGGAGCCGTGCTGTATTCACATTGCTCCAGAGGTTTGAAATACGAGAAAATAAGCATGCATTTCTTCATGAGTCAAAGTCTACATGATGTGGAATCGTCGCATTTCACTATAGAAATATATCCAAAGTTAGAGGTCTGGTCTGTTTTCAAATTGGTGCCGCAGAAATCTGACAAACATATACAGTCATTTCAGTAGGTCAACTCCTATGTGCTACACCGACATGCACAGTTTAGAACTCAGCATTAATGTACTTCTTGAAGGCTAGCTAGACTATACATCCTGTCTGCTAATTCCTTCATAGTAAACAATTAGGCCAGTAGGAGAAAACACACACACACACACACACACACACACACACACACACACACACACACACTGCCCATCAAAATCATGTTGGGACAATCGCGTCACTCCCCATCTATCTGATTATACCTCGAGGCTCCTGTAGGCTTCTAGCAATAAAAGGAAATGTCACTTTAGGGGAAGTGCCATAAGTTCAAGTTTGGTTTTTATTTGCGTTACAGCCTGACTGTGGATTCTCAGATATGACACCATTTTAAGAGCAAGATGAAATAGGTTGGCATCGTTAGCAATGCTATCGAAACCTCTGCCCTTCTATCCATTAGGCTTTGATTTGTATAAACTCAATACTTGTAGACACAAAGGCTTTTTAAAAGGCCATTAATAAAAGACAGTCTGGTTGGAATTGCTGATGAACCATCTACGTACTTCCTTGTCAAAAACTACAGGGAAGCTGACGTGGAAGAAATACACTGATGGCTCCCGGAGCCTACCTGTCTGCAGGTGAAGCCTTGGCATTCCGGGGCTTCTTCACTTGAGCATACAAAGCATCCATCAGATGCCCTTCTCTTGGGCTCTGGGGTCTGGCGTTGAGCGCCAGGGAACCTTCATATGAAGACATGCCCCCAAACAGCAAGTCATCTTCGCAGCCAAAGGTCCGATGGAAATCCTGGATTTCGGCATAGTCACGCTCTCGAGCTTGCCGCTCTCTAAACTCTCGCGTTTTGGCTTGAATCCTGCAAAATTAGGACAAAGTTGAAAGAAGAGAGACTAGCCCTTTTGCACTTCAAAGCATTTGACAAAAGGCGTTATGAATACATTATTTTGTGCAGCTTTAGAAAGAGGAGTGGGAAGAAAGTTCATTCATATTCAATTTAGATGGGCAAGGTAACATCAGTGTTCAAAAGCTGTCGTTTCAGACAATGGTCACATATGTCAATAAGATATATGCATAATTTGTCTCAAGTTTGAAATTTCACTTATTAGCTTTTAACAAATTCGTCAGAGATGGTAGCACCACATGGTGAGCATAATTAATGCCACTGATTATATACTTAAAATGGTTAAAATGACAACTTGGGTGTGGAGGGGGGAGGGGGATTCCATTATATTTTCATGCCATTTGTTCCTGAACAATTTTTTGTGTGTAACTAAATTTTATAAGTACTCTACTCATATTAAGCATCTAAATTTTTGGTTACAGTCAACTAGCATTCCAGTAGATGTCTTTGTTTTTTGAGGGAGGCATCAACTGGGCCCACAGGGCAGAAGCACACCACTGGCTTGTGTGATCCAAGGATCACAAATGATAAAATCCAAACCCCAAGGAGGGAATAGTGTCAGGGCTTAAATTATAAACAGCCAGTCTTTGGAAGGCAGTGGATCACAGCGGGAGTCCAAAATCCATTTGCAGGGTCCAGATGTGGACTAAGCCTCCAGTAAGCCCCCTCTGACCACAGAGCAGGGATGTGAATATCCTTGCTATCATGAGGAATGCAGCATTTTTTTGTTTGGTTGTTTGGTTTTCTGTATTTAGCTTTCTGTTTCTCTATATAAGAAATTCAGGATGAGAAGATCTATGGAGACAGTGACTGCATTGATATTTCTTGAGAGGTATGGTGGGGAAGTTTGGGGGAGGTAGGGAACTGAGGACAGTGGGTACTAGAAGGAAGTACCTGTTGAGGTTGACTGTGGAGATGATTATACAGCTCTAATTAATATGATTGAACTACTGAAGTGTATGCTTCCTGAAATATATCCCAGTAATACTGCCTAAAGCAATGCACAAGAATAAAATGAGTTTTATGTAAGATAGAGATTAAGTTTTAAAACCCACTGCCATTGAGTAGATTCTGAATCACAGCATCCCTACAAAGGGTTTTCAAGGCTTTGACTCTTTATTGGAGCAAACTGCCTCATCCTTTTCCTGCAGAGCAGCCAGTGGGTTTGAATCACCGACCTTCAGGTTAGCAGTCCGAGGCTTACTGGACAGCACGGCCAGGCCACCTAAGCACAAGGAGGCTCTATTATCTGTTCATTTCAACTTCCTACAAACTTTAAAGCCCCTTCATATTTCAACATAATATACATGTCTATTACTCACATAGGGACTTTTAAAAGTCACCAAGAACACATGATGCTATATACGAAATTTTACCCTACCCCAGTCCCAAAAGATATCCAGCAGTCCCTAAGCCCTATAGCTGTGAATGTGACCTTGCTTGGGAAAAACAGTGGGGGTGGGGGGGTGTTGATTAATAGTTGGGACAAAGGAAGTCAAACTACAGGAGAGTGTGTCCTACTCCAATCTTCTGTGTGGAGATGTGGAAAAGGCGGGGCACATGAGGTGAAATGAGATGCCTCATGATGATGGATGTAGATGCTTCTATAAGCAACCAAGAAACTCAGAGAATAGCCAACAGTCTCTAGGAGAGAGGCCCGCAGAAGCCATCAATGTGCTGAGACCTGGCTCAGACTTCATGCCTCCGGGAGTGTAAGAAATGTCTTTCTGGTCACCTGGGGAAAGTAAGACACGTAGTTTCAGGCACTTAAATGGATTTTACTCATGAATTTTTGTTAAGGCAACAAGTGATGTGTAAAGAGATACACACATATACATACAAACACACACATAAAGGGGCTTCCAAAAGTTCATGGAAAAATAGGATTGAAGGATAATGGAATTTTTTCACAAATGTTTGAACCTCCCTGAATTACATATACTTGTGTGTATCTACGTATAAGTGATTTTTCTTACTCATTTTAAGCAAACCACAAGCACTCTGAATACGTTCACTGTTGTTAGGTGTCAAGTCAGCTCCGACCATAGCGACCTGTGTGCAACAGAAGGAAACAGTGCCTGCCCCTGCACCATCCGCACAATTGGTCTGAGGTTCACCGCAGCACAGTGGCAACCTAGCTTGTCGAGGGCTCCCTCCTTTTCACCACCCCTCCGAGATGTCCTTCTCCAGGGTCTGGTCTCTCCTGACAACTCAAAATACTCTGCGGCTTACAACGAGCACAAACCATGATGTGTCACGAATAGTAAAAGGAGGCCTCCGTCTCAGGAAAGCAAGCCCGCGTTTCATGACTCCAGACCTGAGCAATCCTGAGATCCAGGATGAAGAGGGTATCTCTGCAATCAAATTCTAAGATTAAATGTGCTTGCATGATAAATAAGAAGCAGGCTTGAGATAATTTTGTACTGAAGATATGCTTAATTAATTTACGAAGATTTTTGGATCTGCTGAGCTGGCAGTCCCAGGCCAATTCGTAACCCATAATGCCACCAAGGCTGCTTTACAAATCACATGCTTACCCATTTCAACACGCATCCCAAAGCACCTAAACGTCATTTCCACGGAGCAATATCTCACACTGACTTTCAGGTTTTTTGGCAGTTACACAGCTTATTGCTCCTACTGGAAGTAGACCTCTACCAGCCAAAAGGACAACTTTATTTAAATATTGATTCAAAAGAGCACAAAAAAGTTCTCAAACGAGACCATGGCAACACCAAAAGGAAAAAATGCAGACAAGTAGCCCACATGAAAAGAGTAGCAAAATTCCCGTACGAAATGTTATCAAATAGACAGTATAGTAAACAATAGCACAATATGCACCATGATCAAGTGGGGTTTATTAGAATGATGCATATCAGCTCAATATTCAAAATCAATTCACTTAATCCAACTTAGTGACCAAGGAAGAAAACTCCAACAACTTATCCATCAATAAAAATATTCAACAGAAATCACACCCTTTCAAGACACAAATTCTCAGGGAGGGAGAGGGACTTTCTCAACTTGATATGAATCATATATAAAAAAACATACAGCAAACATCTTATATAATGAAGAGTCTGGGTAGTTTCTCCAAAGATCTGGAAGAAACTACGCCTAGCTGCTCTCGCCACTGTTATCCAACATACAAAAGTCACTGTCCTCGAGTTGATGCCGACTCCTAATGCCCCTGTAGAACTGGGTAGATCTGTTCTTGTGGCTTTCTGAGACTGTAACTCTTTACAGGAATAGAAAGCCAAGTCATTCTCCCTGAGACCTGCTGGTGGTTTCAAACTGTTGATGCTGCAGTTAGCAGCGTACAACCACTATGCCACCATGGTACTGGAAATTCTAGATTATATAATAAGGATATTAACAGGAGACATATCAATTTGTAAAGAAGAAATGGAACTTTTCCCACTTGAAGAAGACATTATGATCTACATAGAAAAGGCTAAAGAATCTATAAAAAAACTTCCTGGAAATAATAAGCAAGTTCATGATGGTCACCGTATGTGAGATCAACATACAAAAAATCAATTTTATTTCTATATACTGGCAATGAACCGGTGCACACTGAAATTAATAATGTAATGCAATTTGCATTTGCTAAAAAATGGAACAAATGCAAATGTAACAGAGCAGGTGCAGGAGTCATACAATGAAAACAAGAAAATATCTCCAAATAAATAGAAACTAAGGTAAGTGGAAAAAAAGTCATAGAAACCTTCAGAAAGAAAAAATAAATTGTGAAGCTATCATTTCTCAACATATAGATCCCAATAGATCTATATACATCGCAAGGCAGTGTTTTCATCTATCTTTCCCTTCAGGGGAGTTTTATGCTCTTCAATGTAAGCCAGTTCAAAACAACAGTTTGGGTACCCTGGACAGACTCCAATTGTGTTCTTTATAAATGTTATTTTAATTTGGGGACCAAAAAGAAGTGTCGAAGGGAAAGGTTAGGATTGTAGCACGGATTAGGAAAGGTTTCACAAAAAAAATCTCATAAGACAATCCTTCCTACCCTCAAAGAATGAGCAAGTGCATTGGCATGATGGAAGAGATTTCTTGGGGCAACTTTGCGAGCCTGATTTTTCCAGTGTAGTTGTCAATGTTCTGAAAACTTCTTAATGTCCACCCAGCATCCTTCAAGAAAAGTCATCAAGATTACCTCTCTGGAACCCCAGAGGAACAGTGTGAGCTGACCTCTCTGCCTTGCATTTTCCTGGCCCCATAGATCCCCTTGGAAGCCACTGGTTTGATTGGCCCTTGCTCTAGAGGCCACGTTGGTAAATCCCAAACTCATTCCTGTTTACAATTTGTTCCGTAAAATCATCCTCATTATCTTTAGTCATGCATGAAATACTGATGGAAAGATGAGTTCTGCGGACTCGCATGTACCAATCAAGTCAAAAGTTTGCTGTGGCCAAGATGTTCACTTACAATTGCAAAGTGTACACCACTGGAGATCCTTACTTTAGTAGCTTTATCACATCAATGATAAATTTATAATCTTATTCCACCAGTTTCTGGGCTTTCAGGACAGTCTTTGCTCTTGTTGACTAATTTTTAAGGTCTCTGTTGAGCTTCCTTAAAAAGCTTGATCCATGATGGCATAACCCATTTTAAAGGTGATTTAACCGTGGCGGGGTGGGGCGGGGTGGGAGGGATGCTCTAAGATAGAGGTGGTACACTTTCCCTTGAAACGATTGAAATATTCAATTCTACAATGTGTAAATTGTGTGCCAATAAACACGCTGAAGAACAAAACAAAACAAATAAACAAAAGGCTCGATCCATCTGAAAAATGTTGTTTTGGGGGGGCGGCAATCTCATATACTAGTTGCAAAACTCTGCTAATTTGGCAAGGTATTCACATGAGTTGTGTCAAAGATTTGTTATGAGTCCTGCCTGACTTCAAAATCTTTTTTACCCGTGGCCAAGAAGTATCC